CCTTTTATATCAAATTATATTCTTGGTAGAATTGTACATTTGTACACATAAAATTAGAGAAATTTACTCAATTTACCTATAATTTCTTTTTCAGATCACTCAATTTACCCATCTCACTGTTTATTAATAATTGATCCGTGATTTATTTTGTATTTTTGTCCAAAAGTGTATTATTTTTTGGTTTATCACTCATATGAATAATTGATCCGTAATTACATTTGAAAAGGTCTGTAATTAATGACTTAACGTACAAGGCCCAAAATTGAAAGGCCCGTGATTTAATCAAACTAATTGGGCCTCCCTCGAAGTTATTGGGCTTTATCCCTGGCAAAAAAATAGTTGAAAGGTAAGTCCACTGTCAGTTACTCCACTTGCTCAAAAACGGAAAACCAATCTGTTTTTTTCTCACTCCACTGGCGGCGATGGCGGCGGCCGGGAAACGAACGGTGACCCTCGGCGGCAAAGGATCTTCTCTCACTCCCTCCTCCGTCTTCGAGGTCGCCAATGGATTCTCTCGCGTCACGATCGACTCCTCCGCCCTCTCCCGACGCTCCTCCTCCTCCTCCTCGACTTCCACCGCCGCGAAATTTTCATTCGCTGTACCCAATTATTTCACCCGCGAGGAAGCTAGGGCTTCTTTGATCCTCCTGTTGAACAAGCTAATAATTTCTTCGTTTTCTTCCTCCGCCGCGACCCAGCTGGTTGAGATCCTCGAGCGAGATGTTCAGAGCTCGGATTACACCCTGAACGACGTCGCATCGAGTGATTTAGCGCAGCTGGATTACTCCGTCGCGGCTGTTGACGGCGTTTCCGCTGTCCTCGACCACCGGTCGTCTGCTTTGTGTTCCATCGCCGACGCCATCGCGGCTATCTCGTGTGAGGCCTTGCGAGCTGACGTGTCGCCGTTCAATCTGATGGACTCCGGCGACGGCTCCTCGGCGAAGGACGCGGTTGCGGTTGCCGCCGATTTTAAAGTTTTCGTCAACGGGTCAAAGCTGGTCAACACCGGGAAAAAGCTTTTGGATCCTTCGGTGGCGGAGATTCCTTCTATCCACGGCAATTTTAGAGAGGTCTCTCGTTCCCTACACTCAAAAACCAGGGTTCAGTTGAATTCCGGGTTCCGGGCTGGCTCAGCAAAGGACATGTCTACCGCATTGTCTTCTTTGGGTCTGTCCCTGCTGAATTTGGGGGATATTAGTGTCCGCCGATCAAACCTTCTTCTGGCGAACTCTATTTCTGATGTGGAGCTGCGTGCTCGTCTGGCGGAGATGCTGGCGACCGAGTGCCCGGGTGCCGATGCATTAGAGCAGCTGTACTCGTCCTCTCAAGCTGCTCTCAGAAAGAAGGACTACCTTTTGTTCCTGCATAGTATTTATGAATTACTGGATGTGGTTAGGAAGATGGTTTCTTGGGAGGGGTTAGTTGCATTTGTGTCGCTCGAAGGAAGTGAGATTTTTGCCGGGAAAATTCGAGGAGACAATGGAAATGAGGATAAGGCTACGGATGCGGATAATGTGAAAAATGATAAAAAGAGTGAGAAGAAAAAGAAGGTGGTTTTGGGGAAAGGATCAATTGCTCTTGTGCAGTTCATCAAGGATAGGTTGCTGGGTGGAGCAACAAAAGCTGACTTGGGCAAGTGCACTCAGGATCTCCTCTCATTGCTGGACCCAAGGGATTCGAGGTTTGATGATCTCATTTTGAAAGTGAAAGAGATTGTTGAAAGCAATGAAAGCAGAAGGTTGCCGAAGCTCCCTAAGGTAATGCGGCCGTCATCAAATTAGATCGAGCTATATTCTTAGACATACATTTTTCCAATGTTCTTCTTTCTATGCTCCTACCTGTTAATAATGTTTGGTTACCCTCTATGGTAAAGATTACTTTTTTGGGGTGAGTTTTTAGCAAGTGCAATGTTAAGCTTAATGGCAGCAGTTTCTTTGTTGTGTTCAATTAAGTTAGATTCGTGATATAATTTAGGTATAAACTTGTGATGATAACCGTCTAGTGTATTCACCCAATATCATAGCCTCATACATCAACAAACGAAAATTTCTTGGTAAAAATTATTCCTTCTTTCACCTGATTATACATGAACCCTGATTTCCTGGTTGTCATATCTCTAATCTCTAATCCTTGCCTGGTTATACTGAAGTTTTCAGTTGACCGTTTGATCATAACTTTTGCCCTTTCTGCCAGCGCCCCTATTAACTAGTAGGTGTACCTTGCTTATTATGGACAATTATGTTTATTATTATTATTATTATTATTTTCTGGGGAAGATGGTAAGTTTCTTAGATGTAGCATGTCTCTCCAGAGGTATTCTTTTTGGATTCGTATATGTATTCACATTACAGTTCCTGTTAACATGGAAGATTATTAATTTTTGTCATTGTGCAGGGTACTCGTGATTTTGCAAAAGAGCAGATGGCAGTTAGAGAGAAAGCTTTCTCAATTATAGTTGACGTTTTCAAAAGGCATGGCGCCATGGCTTTAGATACTCCTGCTTTCGAGTTGAGAGAGACTCTTATGGGGAAGTATGGAGAAGACTCTAAGCTTATCTATGACCTTGCTGATCAGGTAGGCTTTTCTTCTCAATGGGCCTTTCTACTACAAAATTGCCATATTGTTTTCTCCCCTTCTTTCATTTGCATTTATGGTAAACGTTCTCTAGTCTAAAAATCTATGAAGAACTGCAGATGCTATATGTGATATTATTTGTTGGACCAATTGTTTCTTACCCCAGTTAAAATACTTGGTTTTGATATTACTGCTTATAGGCACCCTGTTCACAAACTATTTCAATTTTTGCGCAACTTCTCATTTACTTTTATTTTTGGGTTTTTAAGGTGAATTTTGGTTTTAAACTCCTTAATTTTTTTCCAACCTTTTAGGGTTCTTTTTTATTTATTTTTTATTTTTTGTATATCAGCATGTCTGTGCATAAATTATTCTTTCCTTTGCGTTTCTACTGTTAATTAGCCTTAAATATGTTTATAAAAATATTTTTCAGGGTGGTGAGCTATGTTCACTCCGTTATGATCTGACAGTCCCTTTTGCACGATATGTGGCTATGAATGGTCTGACGTCGTTCAAAAGGTATCAGATAGCCAAAGTGTACCGAAGGGACAACCCATCCAAGGGAAGGTACCGTGAATTCTATCAATGTGACTTTGATATTGCAGGCCAATTCGAGAAGATGGGTCCGGACTTTGAAGTCATCAAGATCTTGACCGAGTTGCTTGATGAGCTTGATATTGGAGATTATGAGGTAACTTTCTTAGCTGCATTGCATTCTTGTTTGCGTCTTTGATATGGAAATTGCTACTTCGGCTATGTTTGGTAAACTTAGCTGATAAGAGAATGCTTGGATATAAAAAGTTTTGGTTTTATTTTGATTTTTTGGTTTGGGTTGGTTAAATTTGAAAAAGTTGGTATGGTTAGTTGATAGTGGGTATATTAAATTCATATTTAAAATAAAATAATTAATATTAATTTGATGTAAAAGTATGAGAAAGAAGATGTGATGTGATGGTTAGTTAAAATTATGTGAGTTGATGAATAGTGAATTAAGGTTGATGTGGTGTGTAAGAATGATCGATTGATATTATTTAATTATATTGATAATATTGATGATGGTGGAGTTGAGTTAAAGTTGAGTTAAATATGATTTTTTTTTTTATGTTTTGTATCCAAGCATGCTCTTAAGCTACCTTGTAGCTTCTAAGTGAATTTCGAGCTTATATTTGATAGTTGATAGTTGATGGTTGAAAAGCTAATTATATGATAAAAGTGTTTGTTAAAATCTATCTATATATAAAAAGGTTTGATTATTTTTAAAATAATAACTATTTCCCGCCAAGAAAATATTGTTTACTAAATCTGGAAACTATTTAAATATTTTATGGTATGTTTTAAAGGTACAATTTAGGTAATTGCGGCTGATTTATTAAGGTAATAAATCATTTTTTTTAAATCCATTAATATCTTTTCCATATATAAAATTGCAAACAAATATTTTCAATAACTGCGTTAATAGTGTAATTACAGGAAAATTTATACCGTGAGTGTTATTACCGGTGCTATGTGGATAACTGTGTTTGTCTGTTGATCACTTGGGGTCTTGCTTGATTTATTTTGATATTTTGAATAAATTGTAACTGTAAACAACTAATATAATTTCAGTAAGCATAGATTGTCCAATGAAACAAATAATATTATCTTCAAATTCAGTATAATGACAACTAATATAAGACTAAAGAAAGAGAGGGTCACAAGAATTCATTATACGGCAAAATATAATTTACAAATTCAGTATAACATGCACATCTACGGATCTACCTATATATATAGAAAAAACGTTTATATTTACATTAAATAAAAACTAAAATTCCGCCTAAAAATTTTAAGATTTCTAAACTTGGTAATATTTTTTGAAAAATTTCAAAAAAATCTGGCCTCTAGAAATTAATCAATCAATTTATGATATAAAGTTGACAAAATTAACAAATCTGGTTTCGGTATAAAGTGGACAATTTTATTTTAGGTATTTGATGGCCATATTATTTTTAGTAGGAAATGTATTATTAATAAATATTTGATTTTATGATTTAAAGTGTACGATTTTATTTTGGCATGAAATATACAAATTTAAATGGTGCCGATTTTAAGCATGCATTAACAATTTTTTTCAATGTAAAATTATGAATTAATATTTTTAGTGTAAATTATTGAATTAATCAAATAAATTGGGATGAGATAATATTGGTGCAGATTTTAAGCATGCATTAACATTTCTTTTTTCAATGTAAAAATATGAATTAATATTTTTAGTGAAAATTATTGAATTAATCTATATCTAACCAACCCACAACGATTGATTCTAGGCTTTAAAAAAAGTTTGTATTTACTTTTCTAAAAATTTTAAAATTACTAAACTTGGTAATCTTTTTTAAAAATTTTAAACAGATCGCGCCTCTAAAAATTAAATAATCAATTTATGATATAAAGTTTACAAAATTAATAAATCAGATTTTGGCATAACGTAAGTGATTTTATTTGAGGTATCTAATGACCATTTTTGGTAGAAAATTTGTTTTTATTAATAAATAATTAAATATCCTAATGTACGGTATAAAGTGTGCTATTTTATTTTGTTATGAAATGTCATAATTTAAATGGTATGAATTTTATTTGGTATGGATAGAAGTGTATTTGAAAAATTTGAAAACCAAATAATCGGTATGAATTTTACTTGGTATGTGTATGAAAATCGAATTGTAGATTGATTTGTTATAAAATTAAGGTGATATGATTCTCAAATTTCAGCATATTCTCATAATAATTTGCCATATGATATTGATGATAATTCGGCAAATTGGAATTATTGATGATAATTCGATAAATTTGCATGTATTCCTCTTTGAAAAATATTTTGTTAATAAAAGTCAAAATTTATAATTTAATTCTAGAGAATTAATAGATAAACTTTAACGACAAGGTAACCAACAACAAGTCTAAAAGTCAAATAAGTAATTATTCATAACATATGAGTCACTATTAACTTCAACGTAAATGAAATATTCAATTGTTTATAAGTTAATAAATTATTCAATTACTTAATTTTTTTTATTTGAATAGCTTATACAAAAATAAATTCATTTTAAATAATGAAACATATAAATTTTATATTTATTTTTATTATTCCACATAGATTTTTAAATATATGATAAACTTCTATCAAAATAACTATTTTATAGAATCACATTGTAGTCAAATCGAATTTTTGAATAAAAATTTAAAAATGACACTTATTTTAGAATGAAAATAATGCAATTTATTATCAGTTACATACACCGTACAATTTGTATACTAATTTTAGATAGACAAATTTTATGTAATTTTACACAATTTACATTTCATATAACATTTTCAATAAAATTAATATAAGTAAACTACATTACATATTTACATGTTCATTCCACATTTTTAATTTATAATAAATATTATTTAATGAACATTTTCAATTTATAAATATTAATGAACATCTCTTACCCGTGCATCGCACGGGATTTGTACCAGTTAGTTGATAAGCTAGTTGAAATAAATATTCAATGGGCTTATTTGAAAAGCTACTCAAGGTAGCTTATGAAATAAGCTTGAGCTTTTTAAAAAAGCTCGTCCTATAAAACCAAGCTTATTTGAATGTTGGAAGCTTATAAGCTAATCAAATAAGCTATAAACTAGTTTATATGCTCACCAAACACAGCCTTCATATACCTTTCTATCCAAACTAATGGCCAATTTTAGGCTTTTAGCACCTAAATATATTTGCTCAAAATAAATGCCATTTAAGAAATGAAGAAATAATTGCCTGCAATCCTCGGATATTTTTATATGAGCTTTGGAAATGGAAAAAATAGTCGTGTAAAAGATAAGAGTGATACGAATAATGTTAGACTAACATGGGGGCATATTATTTGATTAGTTAAGTTTCTTAATACGTGTTAAGTTTTCTAAGATGAGATGAGATGAGATTATCTCGGGATGGAGGGAGTATCTGTTAACCTTATTTGATTTGGCTGACCTAACTACTCAACGTGAGATAGTAACAGGGCATCTCTTTTGCAAAGCAGTCCGGGGTTTTAATTCCTGATCACCTGTACTCTTGTATTTGTTAAAGGATTCAAATTTTTATTTTGAAAAAAAGATATGAAAACAACTTTTACTTTGGTTCTTATGAATGTTATTTCTCATAATTAACTTTGATTTACTATATTCTTTCCAGGTTAAATTAAATCACCGGAAGCTACTTGATGGGATGCTAGCTATTTGTGGGGTGCCACAAGAGAAATTCAGAACTATCTGCTCGAGCATTGACAAACTAGACAAGCAAACATTCGAGCAGGTCAAAAAAGAAATGGTGAGTCCATGAATCTGGGACTGGACATATTTAACTGTACTATTCGAAATTATACTTCAAATAATATCACTTATGCAGGTGGAAGAAAAAGGTCTAACTGAGGAGACTGCGGATAAAATCGGAACTTTCGTTAAACACAGAGGTTCCCCTGTGGAGCTACTGTGTAAGTTAAAGCAAGAAGGCAGCGAGTTTTTAACCAACCGTGATGCTGAGCTGGCATTGAATGAATTGGACATTTTATTCAAAGCTCTCCTGAAGTCCAAGTGTGTCGACAAAGTCGTTTTCGACTTGAGCCTTGCACGCGGTCTGGATTACTATACTGGGGTTATATTTGAAGCTGTTTTTAAAGGGGCTACCCAGGTACTCTCTCTCTCTCTCTCTCTCTCTCTCTCTCTCTCTCTCCCTTTTTAATTAATTCGTTTATTTTGCAGGTTGGTTCGATTGCTGCCGGGGGACGTTACGACAATCTCATAGGGATGTTCGGTACGAAGCAAGTTCCTGCAGTTGGGATTAGCTTAGGGATAGAGAGAGTATTTGCTATTATGGAGCAACTCCAAAAGGATAAAAATCAGGTATGGATAAAAGTGGCTAATAAATATTTCCCCATTTTTATCACCGACTTTTCTTAACGAGAATGCAGTACCAATGTCTGTTGGAATGCTTTTAACTGGTTATTGAGAAATTGTTATGTCATCTTAATAATGACCGAAATATGCTACAATCAGGAAATCCGAGCAACCGAGACTCAAGTCCTAGTCAGCATCCTGGGTGATGACCTGGCATTGGGCGCCGAGCTTGTGAGCGAACTGTGGGCTGCAAAGGTGAAAGCCGAGTTCATGGTCAACAAGAGGGTCATAAAGCATATTGACCGGGCTCGAGGGGCCCGGATCCCCTACATGGTGATAGTGGGGGCCCACGAGCTGAGTAAAGGGATTGTTAAGCTGAAAGACGTTTTGGCCGCAAACGAGTGTGAAATTCCAAGAGGTGAGCTTGTTTCCGAGCTTATGAGAAGGCTGAGCGATGACATGTCTGGATGATGATGATGATCTGGCAAAAATCGATTAGCCGAGAGCTCTTCTAGGTTTTTTAAATATTGTTTTTATTTTTTTTTTTCTTGGATATTTAGCTGGCATTGTTGGCAAAAATGGCTTGGGAGGAAGAAATTATATTGACCATTTGGATTTCTGTAATGAACAGATTGTACTCAAAACAAGGAATTTTGTAGGAGTCAATGAGGGTAACCCTGGTTAAACCATGGATGAATTTTCNTCTCGGATACAACTTGGTTCGAATTCGTGAAAATTCTAACTCGGCTTGTTAGTTTATTTAGACAAGGGAGCTCGAACAGCCAATCAATCTCGATTATGCTACTATCCGAGTTCCTTTGTAAACAGCTTGTTTACTTATATTTCTTTTTAGTGTCTTGAACAAAACAGTCGAGCGGAAGTTTGTGAACCAATAATTCGTGCTTGTGATTAATTCGTTTAGAATTTTACGGTTGTTAAGTGAACCAAACATAAATCAAATTTTTAGCAAATTTTCACTAGATGGGATCGAACTAAACCAACTCGTTTATCAAACAAATACTAGAATTGTTAATCGACCAAAGCCGAAATCAATTTTTAATGAGTTTTAACCAGTCGAGTTCAAACTGAACCAACTCGTTTATCAAAAACAAAAATGTAGTTGTGTTTCTTTTTGTTAAACCCTAATTCCCTTTCCCTCCATTGTTAAACCCTCGGTCACCTACAGTTCCCGGAAAAAGGGAATCTCCGGAAAGACGAACCCCCGACCGATTAGCCCACCGGAGTTCCAATTCACCGACTTTACCGGTAAGAGATGCAGCAGGATGAGGTCATATGGCACGTTATCAGGCACAACCACTGCAGTTTTATGGCCAAGTAACCTTTTTTTCTCTTTAGATTTGCTTTTATTTGCAACCAGTCGATTTGATATGCTTGTCTTGTTCTCTCTATGGATGATCTGTGCCTGATGGTGTAATGGTCAAACTTTTCATGTAGAATCGAAACTGGGTTATTCTGTCGGAACCCATATAATGTGACGGGGATTTGCAATCGGAGCTCGTGCCCTCTCGCCAACAGTCGTTATGCCACCATTAGGGAACACGAAGGTCCCTATGTTATTCAATTTTACTTTTTTTCTTTAACTTCTATTTTTGTTTCATTTGGTGCAATCTTGTATTTTCTGGGTATTGAGCTGAATTACGAAGGTTTGGCTGATTGGCTTTTACTATTAGGTGTTTTCTACTTGTATATGAAGACTATAGAAAGAGCACATATGCCGAATAAGCTATGGGAAAGGGTGAAATTGCCAAGAAATTATGAGAAGGCCCTTGAAATAATAGACAAGCACTTGGTAATGAAATTGGATTAAGTTTCCACATATTTTTACTTTGTTCCGTGAGGATTAAACTTCAATGATACGAATTATTGTTAATTTTTGTTTTTTCAGATGTTTTGGCCGAAGTTATTGGTACATAAAACCAAGCAGAGGTTAACAAAGATGACACAGATGCGGATACGCATGAGGAAACTTGCATTAAAGACAAGGTTCGTTCAACAAATTATTTCGTTGAACTTAATTTCATATGTGTTCAGTAAACTTGCATTAAATGCCACAAGCTTTGAGACTTTAAGCATCAGAAAATGTTTGAAATTTAATTACATGTTTGATTAGAGTTTATCCAAAAGGTCTTCTTGGTTCTTCTTCTTCACAAAATAAATGAAGATTCTGGTGCACTTTTTTGGATAGTCACAATTTAGCCGATGTTTGATATATAAGCACTTAATGTAGTAATCAATATCATCTCTCTCTCTCTCTCTATTCCATTTTCACTATTTTTCCCAGAGAGAAAATTATGACAGTACCAACGAAAGAGAAGAAACGAGAAGCTAGGAGGGAGGAAAAGGCTGAAAAAGCTGCTGTATTGGAGAAAGTAAACTGATGTTCTCCTGTTTTTTTTGAGGATCTTAATATTGGCTGTGTATAGTAGACACCAACACTATGGTTTTCTGTTTGCAGAGTATTGAAAAGGAGTTGATCGAACGCCTTAAGCAAGGAGTATATAACGACATCTATAATTACCCAGTTAATGAGTTTAACAATATCCTCGATCAGGAGATTGGGAAAAATGCTCTTACTGAAGATGAAGAGGTGGTTACATTACACGACAAAGCCCTTGCACATATTTCATTGAATAATACGAAACCCCTGTGAATTGTATCTTTCTAAATGTTCTTTGAAATTTCCATTTGCAGGAACCTGAGATTGAATATGTCGAAGGTTATGAGGATCTTGAGGAGGAGGATGATATTGAGGATTTTGGTGGTATTGATCTTGGAGATGATGATGACAATGGTAAACTGTTGCGTTTATTTATTTATTTTATTTTTTCCATTTTTTCCCCCCTTCTGCATGGACACAGAATGACATAATTACTTGAATAAACACTTATTTACGTACTCCTTGGGGATAAACACAGAGATATGATGTTTAGCCTAATAACCAAAAGAAAGAATCGATGACAACAAGAAAGAACAATGATTATCTTTCAAGTTATTGNCCATAGGGGTATTTTTTGTAAATGTTCACACGCGCACACCCATGTAAACAATTTCTATAGGGTATGAACTTTTCTTTTGTGTGAAAACTACACACTATGCTATAATACGTTATATATGATGACATGTATTATAGCATCATAAGTGGTTAATAATAGCATTACACATAATATAATATAAGCTAAGGTTCGTTGTTTTCACTCCATGAAAAAAGATCTCACTGGATCTTTATTATATATAAATGTTTTTCTGTTTCACTCACATCCTTACTGAAAAAATTTCAATTCTGCAGCTGAATTGGATAACAATGATGATGATGACGAAGAGAATGTATTTAAGAAAGGTAGAAAGATTCATGGTAGAAAGCTGGAGAAAGAACGAGACCCCAAATCTAAGAAGAAAGTCAAAGTACATGTTGAGGTAATTTTCCTCCTATGGCTTTCCTTCACTTTCTTTTTATTTTTTTATTTTTTCTTAACGAAAAAGTTCTTAAAGTTAATTGTATCGATAATTAACAAGATTTATTATTCTATTTGCTAGGTCGAGCATGAAGACGAGGTTGAAAGACAGACAGCTGTGCTTTAGAGTCTTTCACCAGTCTCTAAAACGGGTACTTACCTAATACAAAATTTTGTTCGAGGCAAGTTCATCAATGGCTTTTTATTTTTCGGTTAATAGACTATATTGTAAAAGGAAACCTGCTCAATGATAAACGAGTTTTGAGTTTTGTGATCAGCCGATTGTATTTCACATGTACGTTGAATTGTTTGGATCGGAATTAATATCGACCTGGACTCGTTTCTATTTCTAGTTCTTATTTATTTTCTCCTGATTTTTGTCGTTTCGAATATGCCCCAGAATCATGACATGACATGAAAGAATTTCACTATGTATTACAGTTTTTCCTATAGTTTTTATGAAATTTAATCTTAGATTTTCCTTTCTTGTTTGAGAATTGCAGCTGTATGTGTAGCAATTTTATCAAAATGTGACTCGATACTTTTTCGAATAAAAAGACATAGATTTTCTTAATCTGATAAAAAAATTTCAAGGGTGCGCCTTTTATATTTATTCAGAGTTTCAACTTTGCTGTCTCCAAACGCAACCAATCAAACTATTGTCACATTTACAATGACGTCAATTTCTTAACTTTAATGGAAAACGAAAATTTTCTCCACGTCTTTCTTTCCTCAATCAAAGTACAACATGCCGACCAAAGAGTCCTTTTTTCTTTTATTTTCTTTTGGATAATCATATTTTTTTCGATAAATATATTTATTTTTAAGTTGGAATGTAATAATCAATAAAATAATATAAACAAAAAATATGACTTTTCATCATAGAAGTATAAGTTTTGGTTATAAAATGACGGATGACCTACCTAACAGTTAGACAACTATACTTTTTCAACAAATATTTAAAATAAAAAAAAAATACAACGAAACTATGACATTTCATTGTATAAGTATGAACTTGCGACCTTTTCTTTTTGTGCTTTCAATAGACTTTCAAAAAGATATTTAGACCAAAAGCAACAAGAAAACAGACATCACCCGAAGTCCAAAAAGAAGAAAGATTCCCATAATCACCTGAAAGAAAACGTAATGCACTCCATCAGCATCTCATCTTAGTAATTTAAAGTATTATCAACTTCAAACTTTGGCTATCCTTTTCTTCTACTTTCTGCTAAAAATCCTTTCTTTTTCCATTCCCAAAAGTCCCTTTATTCCTTCTTTCTCTCTTTCCCTGAAGAAAAAAGCTGATCTTCCTCATGTTATTTATTTCAGAGAACACATTTAATTGTAATTTTCTTGATTTTTTTTTTTTCAATTCCAAGCTGATCACTAGCCGGAAACAATTGTTGTAGAAAGAACATATACCAAAACAGCCAAGGTAACCTTTTGTTCAAACCCAAAAACAATTAACACAAAACATATTCAATTCTCCATGTATGTTATATGATATGTTGTTATTGATTTCGAAACAATCGATGGTTTTCTTTGTTTACATTTCGCATGCATGAGAAAAGCTGGATAGGAAGAAAAATGGTGGGGAGACTAAAGATCGAAAGATTGTGAACAGAATAATCGGACGGTGGAGATTATTCAGTTTGCTTAAACAGATGCCTTTACCTTTGGATGTTTTTAGTGATGCTAATGGTCACCAAAGAGTCACTTTATCTGAGCCCGGTGGCTCGTCGGTTGAGGTTAAAAAAACTTTTGCTATTTTATTTTTTATTTTATTTTTTTGTTCATTGTTCATAAATCTGTTTATGAATATACTTGAATTTTTTCTTGAATCGAAAAGCAGGTAATAGTGGAAAGCGGGCAAGTCGTGTCTTGGAAGAATAACCGTCGAGAAGAGCTTCTTTTCTTCACAAGCAAGGTTATGTATTATCATCACAGAGCATAATTATTAACTGTATATCGGATTAAATAATTGGATCGTTCGATTAGTTTAAAATCCTCTGTTTCTTTTTAGCAATTTAATGTATTTTTCGGCTTGCAATGTCGAATCACGCATGTCGATCGACTAACCAAACATGCACATGCATTTAAACGATTTGTCTTTCGACTTTTAACGTGCCATGAAAATTTAAAAAAAAAAAAAAGCATCCGAATATTTAATGATGTTCGATAAAAATTATTTCCTCTGTTTGACTTACAGAGTAATGGAAACCGATCACAAGCTCCTGTATTCGGCGGAATTTCCATTAGTTTTCCTCAGGTGAGCTCAATAAATTTCGAGACGTGTAAGCATTTTCATGAATATTACCAAGAAGCCCTCGACGTTTGGCCCGATTACAGAAAAACCACGATTAACTTTGGAAAAATCGAAGAATGCTCCTAATTCAAGCCTTGTCCTTTATGAAGGAAATAACTCTTTATGATACATTCATCTTTCACAGGCTACTAATTTGTGGCCTTTCGAGCAGCACAGATTATGGTCGTTAGAAAACGACCCTTTTGATCGAGTGCCAAGTGGCAGCCGATTATCGTCTGTTAATCTTGTATCTCGAACCTCAGACAAAGGTTCGAAAATCCTAGCTTGCAGGTAAGTACTTGTACACGGTTTTTGCATAAAATGCTTGGTTTTTTCTTTTTTTCTTTTTTCTTTTTTCTTTTTTTTTTTTTAATTTATGGGACATAATTTATACTTATTTTCTTGCAAGATTCGAGGTTCGGCTTAATATATCCATCAGCCAGGGAAAGCTCACTCTTATGCCTTCAGTGAGAAACATCGGCAATAAGTCATTTTCGTTCACTATCGCAACTCGTAACAGCTTATCGGTTTCTAACATTAGGTGTTAGTTTTGTCCATTTGTATGTGTCATTATATTACCTTTTTTTTTTTTA